CCCTACGGGCCTGCACGAAAGCTGCTAGTCGCGCTGGCTTACTGCCGGCGCGCTGCTGCCGCTGCTTGCGGGCAGCGTGGCCACGACCGGCCCTTGCCGGCCGTCTGGTGACTTTTCTCAAGCAATACAACATCAAATAACATAAACTGACTTGACATGATCATAAATATTGAAATTACTTAAAAACATGAATTTTGCACGAAAAGCTGAACTCGGTCGTGGCGGGCGCACCGTGCGCCGCCGACGGCGTTCAGCCGTTCCACGACCAAACTTGATCTTTTCTCGGCAATTAATACCCAACTGAACATGATACATAATTTACTGAACAAAATAACATGAAATGCTCGAGGGACTATACTTAACATACTCACTACACATGTACGGCCCGTGGTGCGCGCTACGTGCGCGACCACGCCCCTCGGCCATAACACCAATAAATCATGAAATTTGTTCGAGCAATATGAAGTTAACTGAGCATAATATTGCATAACATGGCTGAATACATGGCAATTACTCGAAAGATTCAGACTAAGCATGAAATGCTCGACATGGCCACACGCACGGCCGAACGGCTTAAAGCCGTTACATGAGCATGACTAAAAGAAAATGAACTAACATATCTTTAACATGATCAATCAAAGGTAAACCTCAGTTACCTTCGCAACGCTCGACTGATCACACCTCCGTGCGTGGGCGCTTGCGTGCGGTGCGGTTACTTCTCCGCGTGCGCTTGCGGTAGCTACTAAACTTAGGTAAAACTCTTAATCCTTTCTAACTCCCCTATCTCTCTCTCGTAAGTAGCTTCAGCATATATATGTATTAAGTATGAGGGAAAATTCTCCCCACACAACACATATATATATATGCCTAACCGAATGGGAAAAAAAAATGAGGGGATGATTAGGTGCCTTGGTGGCTTAACAAAATCTTGCCATTTGCTACAATTTTGGAGGCTTAAAATGATGAATCATTCCATAAGCCTCACCTTATGGCCACCTCATGCTTGAGAGGAAACAAGGTTTCCTTTGCTTGAGGAAAAATGCCTACGGCATTTCTAAAAAGAAATATAAATTTTTGCATGACTTTAACAGTAGCAGATTCCACCAACAAGGAGTCTGAAGCAGTCAAGTTGTGGCATATGCGTTTGGGACATACTGGTGAAATGTCCTTGCAAACATTGGCAAAATAAAGACTTTTGAACGATGTAAAAGTGTGCAAACTAGAATTTTGTGAGCATTGTATTCTGGGAAAGCAGAAGAGAGTGAAGTTTGGAACGACTATCCATAATACCGAAGGTGTCTTGGATTATGTTAATTCGGACGTGTGGGGACCTTCTAAGACCCCATCATTAGGCAAAAGACGCTATTTTGTCACTTTCATCGATGACTTTTCCAGACGTGTTTGGGTGTAAACTATGAAGATGAAGGATGAAGTGCTTGGTGTCTTCATTACATGGAAGACACAAATTGAGAACCAAACTGGAAGGAAGATCAATGTCCTACGTACGGACAATGGTGGTGAATATAAAAGTGATCCTTTTCAAGAAGTTTGTCGTAAAAATAGCATTGTTAGGCACTTAACCGTTAGACGGACACCACAACAAAATGGGGTGGCGGAGCACATGAATCGAACATTGGTGGAGATAGTTCGATGTATGTTGTTCAATGCTGGTTTGGGCAATGAGTACTGGGCTGAGGTTGTAACATGTGCACAACACCTCATAAATCGTTTGCCGTCATCTACAAAAGATGGTAAAACACCGTTGGAGGTATGGTCGGGAAAACCTGTTGCTGACTATGGATCTTTACATGTCTTTGGGTGTCCTACGTACTATCATATGAAGGATTCAAAGTTAGATCCAAGAGCCAAAAAGACTTTGTTTGTGGGAATCATAATTGGCGTGAAGGGATATCGTCTTTTGTTTCTTGAGACGAACAAAATTGTGTTTAGCGGGGATGTTACATTCGATGAACAAAGTATGATAAATACGACACAAACCCAACAGGTGGAGTTGACACCGAAGCAGGTGGAGATAGCTGCGATGACGAGACAACCAGCTATGATCGACGAAAAAATATCAAACGATTCATCGGATGATGAAGTTCAGACTCATAAATCATTAGATTTACCCATTGCATTGAGAAAGCCTAGACGAGTGATTCAACAACCTGCTCGATTGGCGGATATGGTGGCTTATGCACTTCTAATTGTTGATGATGACATACCTTTCACTTTTCAAGATGCAATTCGAAGTTTAGAAAATGGGAAGTGGAAATGGGCTATGGAGGAAGAAATATTGTCTCTCCAGAAGAATCAAACTTGAAAGGTGACGCAACTACCAAAAGGCAAGAGGGCGATAGGATGCAAGTGGGTATTTGCAAAGAAAGATGGATTTCCTCAGAAGAATGATGTGCGCTACAAGGCAAGGTTTGTGGCTAAAGGCTACGCTCAGAAGGAAGGAGTTGATTATAATGAAGTGTTTTCTCCAGTTGTTAAACACTCTTCCATTAGAATTTTGTTGGCCTTAGCAGCACAATTGGATTTAGAGCTAGCTCAACTTGACGTGAAGAAGGCGTTCTTACACGGAGATTTAGATGAGAAAATTTACATGACTCAGCCAGAAGGATTCAAAATTTTTGGAAAAGAGAATTGGGTCTGTAAGTTGAAAAAATCGTTGTACGGACTAAATCAATCTCCGAGGTGGTGGTACAAACAGTTTGATAAGTTTATGATTGGGCAGAAGTACACGCGAAGCAAACATGATCATTGTGTGTATTTACGCAAGCTACAAGATGGATCTTTCGTTTACTTACTCTTGTATGTGGGTGACATGTTGGTTGCATTAAAGAGCCAAGTGGAGATTGATCAATTGAAGGCTCAGTTGAATCAAGAGTTTGTGATGAAAGACTTGGGGGAAGCTAAGAAGATTCTCGAGATGGAGATAAGCAGGGACAGAGTGAGAGGCAAGCTTTGTTTGACTCAGAAGAAATATCTGAATAAGGTACTGCGACGTTTCGGCATAAAAGATGAGTCGAAGCCTGTAAGTACACCACTTTCCCCTCATTTTAATTTAAGTGCCCAGTTATCACCAAATTGTGATGAAGAACGAGAGTACATGAATAGGTCCCATATGCAAATGCAGTTGGCAGTTTCATGTATGTGATGGTGTGTACAAGGCCCGACATTTCACAAGCAGTTGGTGTTGTTAGCAGGTATATGCATGACCCTGGGAAAGGTCATTGGCAAGATGTGAAATGGATTCTACGGTACATTCATAGTATTGTAGACGTTAGATTGGTTTATGAGCAGAATGAATTTGGTCAGTGTGTAGTTGGATATTGTGATTCTGACTACGCAGGTGATTTAGATAAGAGAAGATCAACGACTGGATATTTGTTCACTTATGCAAAAGCTCCAGTCAGTTGGAAGTTTACCTTACAGTCAACAGTTGCTTTGTCTACAGCAGAGGCAGAGTATATGGCGGTTACTGAATTTGTGAAGGAGGCTATTGACTTCAACGTTTGCTTCAAGACTTGGGAGTTGGTCAAAAGCACGTCTTACTTCATTGTGACAGTCAGAGCGCTATTCACTTAACGAAAAATCAAGTATTTTCATGCAAGAACAAAGCATATTGATGTTCGCTATCACTTTGTGCGGGAGGTTTTAGAAGATGGAACTGTTGTGTTGAAGAAGATCAAGACGACGGAGAATCCTGCAGATATGATGACCAAGGTAGTGACAGTAGTCAAGTTTGAACATTGTTTATACTTGACCAACATTCTGCATATTTGAGTTGGCGCCGAGAGGCGCATTTGGAGACACCGCTAGCAGTTGAGATGGGAGTGGGAGCAAAATTAGTCAAAGTGAATAATTGTTAGATTTTGATTAATTTTATGTCCCACATCGGATGTTTACCAAAGATGTGTAGGATCTTTTTAGTATAAATAGGTCCCTTGCCTTTGGGTTACAATTGCACCTTATTTTATTCTCTCTTATTTAAAAGGAAATCCTTAATTAAGGAAAACCTATTTTGTAACACCCCGGAATAATATTATATTAGTAGCTCGACTTATTTATCGGTATTAGCATTATTTTAATTATGCGGAGAATTATTAATATTAATTGCATAATTTATTTATTACTAAGCCCAAGTAGTATTTTAAAATCGAGCCTAGTAGCAATTATATTACCGAGCCCGACCTTATTTATTCGGTCCATTTATCAGTATTTATTGTCCTAATCCGAGCCCAAGTTGTTAAAATCGAGCCCAGTTGATTAGGCCCGATTTTTAAGCTCATTTCCTACAAAACCCTAAGCTCCCTACTCCTATAAATAGATGTTTCATGTTTCCCAACATCAAACATAAACCCTAGCTACCCCCAAGCACTATTCATCATCATCCATTTGTTCAAGATCCAAACACCATTTTGTCTTAAGCTTGTTCAAGAACATAAGCTTCCTTCCCAAGATCCATCATGGCTTGACACATTTCCGGCGACGACCCGCTTTTCCGGCCAAAAACCCGCAGCTCGAGCCCGCAACAAGCCCTTGCCGCCGCCTCCACTTGTTTTTCTGGCGAGTTCACGTCGGCCTCGGCTCGAGCCTCAGCCCAACCACGAGCTCGCGACCAGGACCAGTCCGCAGCCCCTACTCGCCTCCAGCTCTGTTTTCCGGCGCGTCCACGAGCCTCGCGAGCAGACCACCCACCTCAGCTCCGCCGCGTACCACCATCTCCGGCGAATTGACAGCAAGCCCGCGACCATTCTCGGCGAGCTCTCCACGGCAAGAACAGACCCGCAGCTCTCGACCAAGACCCAACCCAGCGGCTCAAAACCCGACCAATTTCCGAGCTCCCCCACGGCGAGGCCCAGATCCGACAACTTTCTCAGCTCCGCCGCGGTTCTCGCAGCTCTGCCTCCGACCCCCTCACTAGCGCCGGTGACCTCTAGCTCCCAGCTCCACGACACCAACCCGACCTCAGACCCAGCCACCACGAGCCCAGCGGCGAACCACGCCCGACCAGCGGCACTCTCGGTCGTTCCAGCTCAAGACCCGCGCCCAGCTCCTCAGATCCGCCTCAAACCCGACCCAACAGTCCAGATCCGTTAAGAACCGACCAGGTTCTGCCCACAGCTCCAAAAAATCTGGTCCAAGCAGCCCCTAGTTGGACCGGTCCGACCCGACCGGCTTCTTGCTCCATTTTCTTCCATTTCCCTAGCCCGATGCGCTCTTTTTCGAGCATTTGAGGTATACCGGCTAAAGCTTGAATGATATGGAATAAATTGATGATAAAAACGAGATAAAAATTAATTGAGATGTTGATTTGAGTTGGATCGGTACACACGAGCTTAAAGCGAATAAATAGATATTTTCGATAAACGCGTTAAAAATGTCGAAAAAATATGATAAAATTCGTCTAGCTGACTTGAGGCCTAGGTTTTAATTTCGTAAATTTTGGTGCTCGTTTAATATGTTAACTGGATTTTTTGAATATGTAGCTGAAATGCCCGATTTATGAGAAATATGAAAAGACCTCGGAATCCGATGAAACTTTCACGAAAAATCTTATATATGATGAATATATCGTGGTTTAAATTTCGTGATTTTTAGAGGTTGTTTGATATTCCTATAAATTCGAGACTTTAGCTGATTTGGTGAAAACCCTAGATTTTATCCGGTTGAGATTTAGCTGAAATTACTAGAAATCAAGTTGAACTTAAAGTTTGAGTTTTTGACTTGAACCGAGATAGATAGCCGGTTGAGAAGAGAACCCTAGTCTGGCCTTTTTCGGTCAGTCCGGATGAACTCTAGATCCGAGTAGAAAAGTTGTGCGTCGACTGATGTCGTGTCCGTGCGTATGCACCCGGACCATGATTAAGTCGAGTTGCACCCAGTCAGATAAATAAGATCAGATCGGTCAGATAAGTTAGATCAGATAAATCAGATAAGCAGTCCAGACTTAGAAATATTTCAGAGAACCCTAGAATGCCTCAAAGTCAGCAAATCTTTTCAGAGCAGCTCAAAGCATCTAAATTCAGATTAAATGATATTTTTAATCAAGCGAGAGAGAACCGAGTAAGATTTATTAATAATAAGAATCAAGTTTTTATTTGAGCTTAGTACTTAGTACATTTTGCTCAAATTTATGTAGCTTAAGGAGAGTCGAGCCTCCGACAGCTACCAGTGAGTCAGCACTTGCCTAGCAGTAGCAGTTATCAGGTGGGGGTCACGTACTGGTTATACTTCATCTTTCATTTCCGTACCATGTCCGAGGTATGTATGAGAAATAGTTAGATCATCATGAGGGAGGCCGTGGCGGGCCTTAATGTTCCCCCGTGATTCTGAGGGAGGCCTTAATTGGCCTTAATGATCCCCCGGAGTGTGCACATGATTGGCTTTTAAGCCCCAGGGTCTTTATGACCACCAGATGCCCTAGTTACAGTTTCAGTTCAGTTCAGTTCTTATATACTTAAAGTCGTGATATTGTTATTAACGATGCTGTATAATTAAGTACTGGTCTTTGCGGAGCATAGTGGTTTTGCTCACGCCCCCATTATGTTTTTCAGGTGACGGAGCGGCGCGTGGCGCGTGAGATTTCAGTGGCAGTCGTGGTCATTAGTTGTCTTTTTGTAACGCATTTACATGTCATTCATTGAACATGTACTATTATTACTATGCGTAGACATATTATGTTTCAGCTTCCGCATATTTCAGACTTATTATGTATTATGAGATTATCAGACTTATGCATGTATAATGCCTTTATCTCCGTGGTACCTTTATATAACGGATTTGATTAGGTTGCATGTATTTATTTACGTCTGCATGAGAAAGAGTTTAAGTTAGTAGCATCCCGCAAGTTAGTATGAGTATTTTCGAAAATAAAGTTTAAGAGTTTTCGAAAATAAAAAGCAAAAATTTTTACTCTGATTTTATAAATTCTAGAAATAATTAGGCGGGGTGTTACATATTTTGTGGGTTATTTAACCCTAGTTGTATTTTGTTTGTGAGTTTAGCAAATTTGGCTTTGCGATTGGCGGTGCCCGGAGACGTAGGCTATTTTTGCCGAACTCCGTTACCAATTTTTGTGTTCTTTTTCTTTCCCGTCTTTTATTTATTTGTGTTGGCTTATTTTATTTTGGAGTAGTGCTTGCCATATTCGTTGGAGGGGTATTTTTGTCCGCTGCGCTTGTTGTGATACCCCAACATGCTCCTCATTCGAACTTTATTACTCTTACATCAGAGAATGGCTCACGTGTATAAGCACTTGGAAAACGACTTAAGATGTCTAGCCCAATATGTGAATGAAACTAGATCATCAAAGCGTGCAGAATCAATGCAAGAGGAAAAATAAATCTGTAAAATATAACATTTTTACCTCGGTTGTATCTTTGTCACAATTCGCAGGATTTGAGGAAGCTTCACCAGTCTCTTGAGGCACATTGAGTTCACCATCAGCATTTTCGCCATCATCGACATCTTCATCACAGCCAGAGGCAAGTTTTTCGAGGGTAAATTGGCATTGCTAAAGGACTTCCTCTAAAGTTTTCCTCTTCACGCTGACCCTATTTATCTGGGTTCCAATCAGGTCTGATTGCTCCATTAGTTTTTATTTATATATTTAGTAATTAGGCTATTGCACAAATAGGCGCCAGTGGATCTCCCTCCTCTGAGTGAATTCAGCAATATTTGTGATTTCTGTAAAGTAAAGTTGGATGCTTTGAATAGAAAAGGAAATGCAACAGAAATTTGTTTAATGGTGATACAATGCCAGGTTCAAAATAACCTAGATGACTGTTTTCCCCTCCACCACCCCAGCGCAGCCCACAGCAGGCCCGCGAGCGGCCCACTCTCACAACCCCAGGCCCAACAACGCGGCTTCAACACCCAATATGCGTCCCAGCAGTAGTGGCCTAGAAGGTTACCAACTTGGTCCAACAACACCATTTCATGCCTAAGACTAATTCGGGAGGACTCAACGTGGAGGAAGAGGTAAATTTAAGTAGCATTCTAATGATGAAGGTATGAAGTGAATTTAAATTTTGAGCTTGAGGATCTAAATTGTCAAAAACTGAGATATTATTGGATTTGATCATGGATATATTTGATTTATTCATGAATATTACTTGCTTTATTCATGGGAGATATTTGTCTTACTTGTGAGAATAATTCATCATTTATTCGTGAGAGCACTATTTGATCCATTCGTGAACCGTTGGATTTATTCGCAAGCACGTTATATGGCTAATTCGTAAAAATTACTTGAATTACCCTTGGGAGCTGCTTGAATTATTCATGGAGATTATTTGACTCGCTCGTGGAATTAGTTGATTCGTGTGGTGAGATAGTATTAGATTTGTTCGTGGATATTATCTGATTTATGCAAGGGATTATTCAATTTGCTCGCGAGATATCATTGGATTTATTCTTGATATGTGAATATATTTGAACCTTCTCATTTGAATTTTCATTAGTACATGTGGGATTTTGTCTGAACTGAATTGCCCATAATGTTCTGAGCGTGTCATTGCTAGAACATGCCTTGAATCGAGAAGATAGTGATGTTTGTATTAGATCTCTTATTTTTCTCGCGTGAAAAACGATAAGATGGATGACGTGAATATAATGTTGATAACAAAATCTCTTTGAATTCTTGCCGAGGAACCCACGGGATGATGCAAATCTTGACAAATTATTGAGACAAATGTTCGAGTGTCGAGGACAAAATGAGCGAGCACGAATCTATCAATGTGAGATGACAATGGAGGTTAAGTTTTGATGGTGCTGATCACTGGTGGCAATCTCGTAGACAGAGATCAAGTCTCTTTTGGTGAGGTAGGATAATTCCAAGTAGTATTCTCGACTTTAAGGTACACAATTAATCTCAACTCTCGACATCTATTTCGGTCGACATGATTTATAAACGCATTGAATTTCTTAGCATTCTTTATTGGATAAATGTGGACCATTCGAAAATATTGTGAAGAAATGTTGTTGGGATCGTGGCTTACATGGATACGTTTCGAATCATTGTGTGGATAGTTGACAAAATGCAGAAAAAGAGGCATATGCGAAACCTTGAACAAAAATCGAGCATGACGAAGGCCTTCGGGCTGGCCAGTCTCGAGTCTCCACGACTAAAGAACTTGGTAGTAGGATGAACTCATTTGAATCTTCACTTACTACATTAGTTTGTTAATTGTAGATTTATGCGGAGTATGCTTTGTCGAATTATTTATTGAACTCTTGGTTTTGTGAAATTCTGGTCTATCGTACATTCGAGTGAATATTTATATCCTTTATTATCGGGATAAAGAGCTTAATTATGGATTATGGTGTGATATAGTAACACATGGATATGTTTGATCGTTCTGATGCATCTATTGCCATTATTGCTATTGGAATCGTAAATTGAATGATATGAATAGACTAAGACTCATGAATTTTTCTTGATATTTGCTGAGAAAAACACATGAACAAGTGTACTGATATTTAGATACAGCATGGACTGCTTAGATGAAATAGGGAATGGATAGCAGGGAATAACTGAGTGGATTCTCGACAAATCTACGAAGCTTACGACTACGAAGTCGACTTAAACAACTACGAAGTTGTATCTTGACTAGAACCTCGACTAAGCTACGAAGCTTACGACTACGAAGTCGATTTAAACAACTACGAAGTTGTATCTCGAGTGAAATCTCGAC